GCCGGTCCTTTGCCGGTTCAAGCCGGTCCTTTGCCGGTCCATGCTGGTCCTTTGCCGGTTCATGCTGGTCCTTTGCCGGTTTAAGCCGGTCCTTTGCCGGTCCATGCTGGTCCTTTGCCGGTTCATGCTGGTCCTTTGCCGGTTCAAGCCGGTCCTTTGCCGGTCCATGCTGGTCCTTTGCCGGTTCATGCTGGTCCTTTGCCGGTTTAAGCCGGTCCTTTGCCGGTTCAAGCCGGTCCATGCCGGTCCTTTGCCGGTTTAAGCCGGTCCTTTGCCGGTCCATGCTGGTCCTTTGCCGGTTCATGCTGGTCCTTTGCCGGTTTAAGCCGGTTCAAGCCGGTCCATGCCGGTCCTTTGCCGGTTTAAGCCGGTTCAAGCCGGTCCTTTGCCGGTTCATTCTGGTCCTTTGCCGGTTCATTCTGGTCCTTTGCCGGTTCCTTTGCTGGATGCCGGTCCTTTGCCGGTTTAAGCCGGTTCAAGCCGGTCCTTTGCCGGTTCATGCTGGTCCTTTGCCAGCATAAACCAGCAAAGGACCAGCTTAAACCAGCATCCCAGCGTCAAAACATACCTAACCAGCATATGCTGTTTTTTTTCAACAGGGTAGTTTTGTAATTTACTGCCATCTGTTTTGGTAATTTCATTTTTCATAACTTAATTTCATTAGCATCACACAATTTTGTCAGTATGAACTCCTAGTTAACCAACAATGTTCTAGCTACGATAGCACAGGTACATCTCAGAGACGTCTATTTGACGTCTGCGAGACGTATTTGCTCATCTGCAATACGTCTATAGGACGTTTCCTATCAGATGTTTGCAAACAGTAGATGCTTTCCAGATGAAGCGATCTTTAACAGACATGCGTGTGCTGTTAATAATACGTATTAAAACTCATTTTTACAGTTTTCAGAATGCGATTTTTTAACGGGAACCCCCTTCGAACCGCGATTGGGCGGGTTTTGTTGTGAAAACCTGGCAACCCTGAGTATAACGTCTGACAGGACAGAAAAGTTAGTTTTTCTGAGCTCTGAGACTTGCTACTTTACAAAGAATTAGCTTATTTAAAACGTCAGGCACAATTTAAATGACCCTTACGATAAAACGCGTTTCTTTTCACCAAATCAGAAAATACGGACGATATGTTCTTTGTATCACAGCATGCGCACAATAACGTCTGACAGGACAGGAAAGTTCTTGTTTCTGAGGTGAGAGGCTTAATACTTTACTATTTTTTTAATAATAATATATAAAGTATATGTAATGGCTACTTTTTCTTTGGAAAGACGCTAAAACTTTTGTATTATACTGGTGGAGACTGAAAGTTTTTCCGTATGTTCCCGGTCTTCATTACATCACATAAATGATGTAAAAATGAAAGCTTATTTATTCAGCTTCTTTCAGATGATGCATACATCTCAATTTAAAAAAATTTACCCTTATGACTGGTTTTGTGGTCCAGGGTCACATTTAGTACAATTATTAAGACAATAGTTGAGAGAACAAAAAAAAAAGTCAGAATTTTTTTTATTCTATGGCGGCTTCCATACAAACCTGAGGGAGTTTCATGCGCTTTCCTCAAAGGAGAGCGATCAGGATCATCGCTGGTGGAAGGAAAACTGCAATCATGCTTCCTTTTAGCAGAATGGCTCTGTGTCCGTCCTGTTTTGCAGGCATCAGGTCCTGTTTTAGACTCTGAAACCGATGTGAAGGACTGTGCTTGTGAAGTGTCTGTACAATTATTAAGACAAAAGTTGAGAGAACTAAAAAAAAGTCAGAATTTTTTTTATTCTATGGCGGCTTCCATACAAACCTGAGGGAGTTTCATGCGCTTTCCTCAAAGGAGAGCGATCAGGATCATCGCTGGTGGAAGGAAAACTGCAATCGTGCTTCCTTTTAGCAGAATGGCTCTGTGTCCGTCCTGTTTTGCAGGCATCAGGTCCTGTTTTAGACTCTGAAACCGATGTGAAGGACTGTGCTTGTGAAGTGTCTGTATGATCACAGTTTCTACTGGAGTCTGTGACGCTTTTGGCCTCCACTGTGAGTCTGGATGGCTGTGGTTCAGCTATTAGGTTATTCCTGCTCCTGACTCCTGTGCATCCCGTCTGCAGAGCCAGACGGTCAATGCGGCATTTGAGCAGAGGGTTTGGAATTGGCTTTGAGTTCTGGGTAAAAGGGACGCCGGTAAATGGGTCATTGGGTAAACGACCCCAAGTGGCTTCTCTCTTCTGGTACTCCTCTAACGTGTTGTTATCAATCACCATTCCACTTGGCAAGATCATTGGGAAAACCATGAGTTCTTGTGTTAAGGGATCGAGAAACTCCTCTGGGATTGGGATATCGATTGGGACGGGATCTGGTTTGGGAGGTACGACGGTCAGATGGACTGTTTTTTTCAGGCTGTTTAGATGCGCATCCCAAATTTTGTCCAGTTCTGATGCAGGACAGCAGCGAGAAGGCAAAGCCCACACGGCGAGGGTCTTGATGCCGAGCGCTGACGCGGCGCCGCTGTAGGGAATACTGACTCTGAGCTGCGCGACCGATCCGCGCCTCCAAAGCTCCTGCGTTTTCGCTCCAGCCGGCGTCTGCGGCGGAGCATCGGAAAACGGCGCTCGAGGTTTAAAAGCAGGGTTGAGGAAACACACCTGCAGCTCCTCCTGCAAATCACAGCGAGACGCAAGTTCGAACCGATCGCCGTCTCGTTCTGAACACGTTAGGATCTCCAGCCTTCGCGAGGTTCGGCCCTGATCCATTCCCCACGGCCAAAGCTCGACGTCCAGCCGACACAGCTCCATCTTGACCTGGAAGCTCAGTGTGACGTGGACTGGAGGCCGGAGGAAGTATTCCAGCTTGAAACCCCTCCGGCGTAAGATCGGATCCACGGAGAGAAGGTTGGAGACATCGTAACCGTCGGCACACAGCTGTGAAAAAAAGAGATGTTGAGGGACCAATGACAATATCAAAACACGTATCGAATAGTCACAGACGTGTGTTCTTGGTAGAGAACATTGCAAGGTCGGCTCAGACGCACACAAGACACAAAGCAGTCAGAGCTGAACCCTCTATTACTCACCATCAGGTTATTCAAAGGGATTTCCGAGAGGGGTTTTAAAGGAAAAGTTCACTGAAAACTGAGAATACTGTTATTCAGCAACATGTTGTTCGAAACTTGTATGACTGTCTTTGTTTATTCCACGGAACGTTCTGTGCTCCTTTTCATGCAAATAAGCAAATCATTTAAATTTAGTTCCGAAGGATTTGTTTCCGGAGCAACCAGGCTTATTAAAGATAAAATAAAACGTCAACTGTAATAAAATATAAGAAAACAGCCAACTGCCAAAGCAACATTTAATTTCCATTTAGTTTAACCTGATGTACTAAAATAACTAAAACCTAGAAATAAAAAAATGTATAATTATAAAAGCTATATGCACAAATAAAAACAAAAATTTAAGTAAAAACAGAAAACATAAACATAAAATGTAGTTCAAAATATTAACAAAAAGTATATCAATGACACTGAAATAACAATGGTAGCAGTCTGTGTTGTTTAATTATCATTTTTAATCATTTATGCTATTTAGCATTTAATCACTTAAGCAATTTCATTATTATTTTTATATTGTACAGTACTTTTTTCCCTTGCTCTAGCAATGCTTGCTAGTCGTTTTATCTCACGATTGTGGTATTGTGGAATATTTGTCTTCACGAATAACTGATAAGAGGATATATCTCAATTTTTAAAAAGGTTTAATTGGATTTTGTTGTGTAGCAGTTTAATGTAACAATATATGTTGCATCTGTGATAGACATATGCAAATAAAATAATATAGTATTACAGTTTCTTACACAAAAGCATTATTTGCTTTCTAAAGACTCTGAATGAAGCATATTTAAATTGCGTTTACTGTTAATTACGCCAATGGTCTCCTATTGTGTTAAATGGAAGAAAGAAAACAATACTGGGTTGGAATGACACGAGTAAATAATAACAGTACATTTTCTCAAAAATTGCACTGTTGCTAAAAACAAACACCGTATTCTTAGCAGTGTTGATATTCAGAACAGCTCTTGTTGATGTGATACGGTTTAAATGTCTCATTTCAGTCTGTATATTAACAATGCCGTATGAGTTTAATTTTAACCTGAGGTCAAGCTGCATTAACAGCACAATGGGCTGTGATTTGTGTGGTACCTTGTTGCATTGAATGGAGGTCTGAAAGTGTGACAAGCACAGGTTGAGCACCATGACCACTGCATCTACAGCACTGAAAGAGAATCTATAGAAACCAGAGAGTCAGAGACATTTCAGCACTATAGAAAATCATGCATAGAACTCTACAGGCAATTTCAACAGAGATCCTGAAACTAAACCTTTAAAGTAAAAATACACTTTGGTACACACAGTTTATGCATAGAGTTCATTGTAGTACACACACACACACACACACTCACACACTCACACACTCACACACAGACAGACAGACACTCACTCACTCACTCGCACGCACACGCACACACGCACACTTGCACTCACACTCACTCGCACACGCACACACGCACACTCACTCGCACACACACGCACTCACTCACACACACACACACTCACTCACACACAGACACTCACACACACAGACACTCACACTCACACAGACACTCACACACACTCACAGACACACACAGACACACACTCACTCGCACACACTCACACACACAGACACTCACACAACTCACACACTCACACACTCACACACAGACAGACAGACACTCACTCACTCACTCGCACGCACACGCACGCACACACACTTGCACTCACACTCACTCGCACACGCACACACGCACACTCACTCGCACACACACGCACTCACTCACACACACACACACTCACTCACACACAGACACTCACACACACAGACACTCACACTCACACAGACACTCACACACACTCACAGACACACACAGACACACACTCACTCGCACACACTCACACACACAGACACTCACACACAGACACTCACACACACTCAGACACTCACTCGCACACACACACGCACACTCACACACAGACACTCACACACACAGACACTCACACACAGACACTCACACACACACAGACACACACTCACACACACACAGACACTCGCACACACACAGACACTCACTCACTCGCGCACACACACACTCGCTCGCACACACACACACACTTGCACTCACTCGCGCACACGCACACTCGCACTCACGCACACTCGCACTCACGCACACTCGCACTCACGCACTCACGCACTCACGCACACTCGCACTCACGCACACTCGCACTCACGCACACTCGCACTCACTAGCACACTCGCACTCACTCGCACTCACTCGCACACACACACACACACACACACACACTCACTCGCACACTCACACACACAGACACACGCACACACTCACACACACAGACACTCACACACGCACACACACACACACTCACAGACACTCACACACACACACAGACACTCACAGACACTCACACACACACAGACACTCACACACACACACACACACACACACACACACACACACACACACACACACACACACACACACACACACACACACACACACACACACACACACACACACACACACACACAC